GGCACACAAGACCCGCTCTGCAGGGCGGCCGCACGAGCCCCTGAGCCTCGGCTGGCTGTTTCGATTCATCGCTTGGTAGGTGTTGCTCCTGGGAAGGTTGAGTCATTCCACCTCTGGCTTGGCAATCCAAGCATAAACTTGCAAAACGCATACAGGCTTTTATAATGTTATCCCGAGAAACCCAAACCAGCTGCACTTCTGGCAGGAAAATGCAGGACCACCAGTAAAATATCCAAAACAGTTGCATCTTTTAATTTATGGCTGTACGCTGTTTCCATAAAGAGTATATAAAAAAGGTCAGATTTTATAGGTAAGACATAATAAACAGTCATACCCATTGATGCCATAAATGTGGAGAAAAAGAGGTTACTTAGAAATGATTCATTACAGTTTGAAAAAATCAATTTCTTGCACCTAATAAGCACAATGCACAGACACGAGCAACGTTTCTGGGTGACTGGTGGCGAGACGCTGGAGCAAAGAGACTGAATTGGCCGCCTGTGGCCATGTTCCGGTGAGCTCTGCCCCGACTGGAGATGGAGCCCGGTCCCCGCTGCTGGACGCTGGTTCCCATCAGCATGGGCACAGGCGTCAGGGCACAAACCCTGTTGCCAGCGTTTAGCCCAGAGGGCATCTGCCAACCCAGCAGCAAAGCTGGCCCCGTCTCTTCATTTGCAAGGGAAGATGCTTGCAGAGAGCTCCTGTTTTGTGGGAGAATGCATTTCATAGATTTTTAATTTTTTTATTTTGTTTTTTTAAACATTCTTGTTACTTGTCCCTCAAAAAATCTCATCCTTCCCAAAGGCCTTTTACAACTGCTGTGGGAAACAGCAGCTCCTTCCCTCAGCCAGTAATGCTGACGGGATACTGACGACGACAAATAATTCCCTTCAAAACGCTGGCGAGAAACCACCTCCACCCTCCAAACCGGAGAGGCTTCTAAAAATAAATTCTCATCTCGGATTTCACTTCTATCATGTTCGTTTCACTGCACAAACTTCATTTTCCACTCATGCACGGAACAGTCCGGAGAAAACAGGGGATTATTTTACATCTCTATATTAACCAAGGTTGGTTGTGTGTTTTTCATTGCTTTTCTAACCTTTTGTTACTTCTAAATCACTCAGAGGAGAGAGGCAGAGCCTATTGTTTCCCTTTTTTTAGGTCATCTGAAACTGGGGCATTCCTTCCGTAAGGCGGCCTGACTTACAGCTATGACAGCATTTACAGTTCATTGGGACGTGATCTCCGAAGCAACACAAAATCCTTGCCAAAGAGGCTCAGACCTGCTTTTACTACGGCAACCTGCATTAATTCTCCTTACTGCTGTGGAACAAGCACGACACGCCGCTGGCTGTCAGCTGAGGTCTTTATTTTCTCGTTAAGTATCTAAACTTCCCACTCTCGAGGCGTTTAATGGCTGCGGTACACCAGGCAACTGCAAAGCCTCTGCCACGCTGAAGCCACACAATGAGAAGCGATCGTTCCACCGGCTTTCCCGCACACATCCCCATCTGCGCTGCCCGCAGGGGCGC